GCACCATACGCTAGCTACTTTATCCTACAAAGCGATTTATTCAGAGATGCACACATACATTTTCAAATTAGAAAAGAGTAAGTACACATAGGCAAATCTCGTTTATTCATTTCTAGAGATTAAGAACGGCAGCTAGGGAAAATCGGAAGGTGCGGGGGAGTTATTAGCATTTTACCGCATTTCCTAACAGCAAGCATACCAGCATTTTGGGTAAATGTATCACTGATATGAGTACATAGCCGTTTGACTGTACACTGGGAGACGAAAGACCATTAAATGCCGTGTTACTTAGAAAGAACTGAAGTATGAATTTTGTTGTTATTGAAAATTTACTGTTGTTACTTAGATTTCTTACAACCTTCGCTATACTATACTACTAATTACTGATTGTCCAGCTTTGAAGCAAATTTTGAGAAGGCGTCAAGGTAACTTTTCACCGGCCGTACAATTACCACAAGGCTCGTTTACCCATCTAGTTGGTTGCTTCAGGAAAAAGCAGCGGTCTTTGAGAACTCCTGCTATTCCGCCGTGAAAATCTGGTACACAGAACTCGTTTAAACGTCAATTTAAGAATAGTATTTGCCGCAAACAAAAGTTTGACGATTTAAAGGGAGAACAAGAAAGAGAACTAACAGATGCAGGAGATAATCAAGATTTGAAAAAACTGAAGTACAATAACTCGCCTCATATAATCCACGATAAAACGGGAAAATTCTGCTAAGAACAGCCAGAACACTTTGTGTTCCGTTGACAATAAAGGGGAACCATAAGACTATGAACGAAAGCACAACAACTGCAGCAACTCTCAGAATTGATGTAAAACTAAAAGTAGAGAGCTGGCAAAGAAAAAATAGATTGGTTTTTAGAGATGAACCTTTCCACAATGTTCGACAAGAGTGGTCTCTTGGAAGATCTTGCCAATATAAATACGAATATGGGTAAAGCATGATATAATTCCATCTGCTTATAATTCAGAGCCAATACAAAAGCGATAGAGCCAAGCAGACGTCGCTGATTAACAAGAAGTAAGAATGACAGCAGAAATAGCCCAAGCGAAATGCTGTTGTACCTGAAGAAGAATACAGTACTTACAAGGGAAGGATACTTAGTGGCCGTGGCCGTTCAGAATGAGATGTATATCAGAACATTATAGGACACAAGTCTCAAATATTCCGTCCTTATCTGCTAAACGATTCTTATAAGGAAGTTTTAGAAAAAAATGCAAAACTTTGCCCCATACAGGAA